TTGCACTGCTCCTTTTACTGGCAGACTACAGAGGAGCTGCCGCACATATCTTGATTGGTTGAGACCTGACAGCGTGTCTAATCATTATCTCTGTTTAATCGCTAGGGACAGGGAAGAACAAAACTATCTGACAGTGGTGGCCTACTGGTTTTTGTTTTTGTTTTGTTTTGTTTTGTTTTGTTTTGTTTTGTTTTGTTTTTTGAGGACACTGGGGAGGTACAGAACCATATCATAGGTTGCTTTAAAAAAAAGGGGGGGGGAAACCTAGCCTCAGTGAGATTCTGGTGACTGAATTGACAAGGAGACAGGCAGAACTGTGATAGTAAATCCTTAGCAAGGCACAGTAGTCTGTCCCTATAGAAAACAGTACAAGGTATTTGTTTTGAGTTTTATGGTTGTGTTATTCACACCTATATAAGGATCTTGGGACAGAGGATAAGGTTTTGCAACATAACTGTGTGAAACCATCATAGCTATGAAACCATCGCAGGCTGACATCTACTACAAAAGAATGCCTTAGAGCTGTCACTTAGAGATGGGTATTGGAGAAAAGCAGAGGGTGCTTGTTTCCACACAAAACACTCTCAATTTGATTGGCCATTGGAAAACAGACTCTCCTAAAGAATGCTAATGTTCATCTGAATGTAATGTGGAAATGTAGTACCAAAGAGAAAGTCGGTTCACTATGTACACTGTACCATATTTTGATTTCCAGTATCAAGGAATTCTAAATTCTACTAAAAGCATGTGGAATGAAGAGATAGACAAGGCATAGGATATAAATAAATAATGGAGCCAACCTTATGTAAGGTTGACAAAATTTAGAAATGAAATTCAAAATTACTAAGGCATAAAAGTTAAGAATATATTTTAAATATCTGAAAAAATAAACTCCTGAAGTTCATTAAGGACTTAGAAGAATCAAATGTCTCAACATCCTTAATTTTTACAACCTGTCTAGTGGTCTATTATAAAAGTTTACCTAGAGAAAATATATACCATTTTCTTCCTTTGTCCATTCTTATTGGGACCCAACTACATGTCAAGCAAGAAGCAGTAATACTTCCTCTACTATAGCATAACACCTAACACACATGAAGGGCACTGTGGCCAGGGTGAAATACATCTCTTGCAGTGTGATTTGATGGTGGTTCTGAAACCGTCTCCCAAATTGATCAGCTTGATGCCAACACATCCACCCACCTGATCACAAATCACAGCCCTGACTCCACAGCCCTCTTCTTTGATTTATGTGATAAATGTGTTAACTACTATTAGGATGCTCAGATGTTGTGTGGGTTGCTAGGCAGGCCTTAGAATTACTAGTGCCTTGCCCACATTAATACACATAAACTTTACTACGTACATCACAAGATGTCTTTTCTCTTCTGGTCTCTCCCCTTTTCTCTCTCTCTGTTCCTTCTACCTTGCCTTCTACTATATATATATATATATATATATATATATATATATATATATATATATGCAAGGAAGGTATATATATATTTAGTTATTATATATATATATATATGCATACTAAATGTAAACTAAAAAGATCAGAGAAGGGTCCGATGAAAGACAGAATCATAGGTTGTTGAACTACAGTGATATTTCGAAGATAATTTATTTCACAGCCATGAAAATAATTGGGCACATACTCAGAAGAGTTATGTGGACTGACCATCTCTAATGACAATGTTTGATTAGAAACCAAGTAGAGTGTCTTCTGTATCTGAGCTTGAATTATGCCAGATATATTAAAGGCATGTGTAGAAAAGGCAAACAGGCTTTGCAAAGTTGACTCAGAGTGGGACCTTGAAAAGAATAAATAGACCAGGACTTAAAGGTGGGCACTAAGATAAATACAATAGCCTCAAAGAAAGTGAAATAGCATTCCAAGAGAAATTCTGAAGCTTAGTTTCCTATCAAGAAAGAGAAAGCTAGATATAGTCTGTATTTGTCTTTGATGTAATGATGCCTTTATGCTTAAGATTTATGCTTTACTTGAATTATCAATTCTTACAAACAAGTTTTAAATATTTTATCATCCAACACTTCATTATAACTTTTTACTATGAACTCTATATTTTAAAATATCATTGCATTAAAAGTTTAATATATTATCAAATAACCAATTATCTCATTTTTATCTATAAAGTCATCAACATTAAATCATAATGTGGATAATAAAAGAAGAGGAATGTATTCATGATCATTGACATGGATAAATATATAGTTTTCCTAAAATATCTTTAGTGGCATAAGTGCTATTTAACTTTTTAGAAATGAACCAGAACTTCAAATAGTGAGTTTCTAGGCTAATCCAATTGCAATAAATTATGTCCATTTTTACATTGTACTTTTTTGTCTGCCATTGGACTATGTAAAGCCAGCTAAATGGAAAAACAACTCATGTGCCTTATTAATGAAATTATTTTTATAATAAGTTGCAAAAGAACAATAAAGCTTTTGGTAAAATATAAATAAATTTCAATGCATTTTTGTGTCAGTTTTTCAATTTCAGTGACTTCCTTGGCACGATGTCTTTGACATCTTATTAGAAACTTATTTCTCTTTTGTGACAGGACATAGGAATATTATATGCTACTATGTTGTAAATTATCTTCTAAACCTTCCAATGAGACTTAATCCAAGACACTTAGTGATGTGTGCCCATTTTCATAGAGGTTAAAACTGAAAGAAAATATCTGAAGTGATAATTACGAACTAGGACAGCATATAAAACAATATTTTTATAGAATCCAAATGAAAATCGAAATAAATTCTGATTAAAAGCTAACCAAGCAAAAAAACTGCAGATTACCTGTATTCCAATTAAATATGGCAAATAAATACTTGACTGGTTTCAGTTCCAGTTCTATTTATACAAGAATGGCCTATTAATACTGAAGATGAAATTACCAGAACTCAAGCAATACAATTATACTTTATAAGTACATGAGAATTTAGCAGACTTAGATCCTAACAGAACTGTTATTCAAATGTCAACGGTTGTGTCTAGATTGTTCAAAGTGCATTCCATCTCCTCTGTAATTATATATAGATCAGGGACAACAGGCATCAGATGACAAATCACTTATATACAACGTGCGTATCAGTGTCAGTCATGTATAGAAAAATTAGTTGTGATATTGTGCCTCTTCTGTTTATAGAACTTACTCCATGGTTATGAAAAAGGCCTGGAATTTTTTCAGCCAATATTTTTGAGTGAACTTTCTACTCTATTTATTTATTCCTCTGTTTTGTCCATGACATTCATGTTTCCTGAAAACTGCCCTATGTGAACTTACCAAACATAATTATACTTTAATTAGGCATAATTTCCTAATTATATTTAAAATGCATACCATCTTTAAAGTAAAAAAAAATAGTAATAAAAACTAAAATGTCAGGGTTACAAAAACTGCTGACATAAAAAAAAAGACTTGCTGATACAACATCCACTTTATTTAGATTAAAGAATGTACTTTTAAAAACAAGTAAAATTGTATGATTATCAAAAGATAACTTCATAAAAAAAAAAAGAAGCCTCAAGTGCAAAGAACACTGTCCGACTAAAAATTATTCTAATATATATACACATATATATTAGGATTTTAAATGCACTTGCCTTAAATATATACTCAGCTGTATTTTAATTCCCACCAGAATTTTACATTCATTAAATAAAATTACTGGCAAAATGTTTTCTTAAAAGTCATGTCAAAGTCCCTTCCACATTAGCACACACCACCATACACACAGATAAGCATGCCATATAGCCATGAGGCAAAATGCCATTTAAAGTCTAGAGAATTGATCAAGAGGGACATCAATCAACAGGCCCTGATATCATACGTAATACAGATCAATACTTAGAAAGGTAATTACTCAGTATGATTTAATGTAGAATACTTCACTTGGGGTCACTTTTTGATTTATGCATTACTGGATTTTAATGATCAAAGGTAAATTTCTAAATCAAAACGTGTTTTATCTTTGAATTAATATACTGTCTTTAATATAATTAGTATACATGCCACCACTGAAGAAACTGGTATAAAGTGAGAAAGAGGTCCCTTTTCATAAGAGGATTGAAGGGGTGAATGACATAAATCCATATGCAATTCTCATGCTTTTCTTGATGTATAACTGTATCTCTTTCACATTAGAAATACTGATGAAGTTAGGAAAAGCTTAGCCACTCCACTATTTGAAATAAACACATTCCTCAAGGGTTTATCTAGTACTCAAAATCAAGAAACTAAATAACACAGTTGTCTTTGGGGACGTGAGCAAATGTGAAAGCATTTACATGTATTGTTTGCAACATGATTTTTCGATATACATATGTATAGGCTCACAATGAGGTAAGGACAGGGAGAATTATAGTCTGTTTTATTCCCTTTCCCTTGCAAAAATCAGGATAAACCACACAGTTTAAGGAGAGAGGAGCTGTAATGGCAATTAATGTATTCTAGTGAGAGCAAGGCACTACTGTTCATTTCTGATCCATTTCACCTGGCATTCAAAAGCAAAGGGTTGAAAATACGTTGCTGAATATTCAAAGCAGGAAAAACTTAAGCAAAGTTCGTGGTACTTGCTTTGACTAAGGTTGGTTTGTATTAATTGAATAAACAGTTGCATGACAAAAAATGAAAAGAAGAAAACACTCAAAACTAGACCTCCCTTAGGGGATGTGACTTTGCAATTGTGCACTGAGTTGGCATTTTCATAGTAGAAACTGCTCCAGTTTATATCTGGGTGCATTTATTTCTGATGCACTATTTTAAATGATGGTGTATTTTTATGAATTTTATCTATAGATTTATGTTTCTTTATTTGTAAGTTCTGGATTTTTACTGAGTGTTTAGTATTTTAAAATAGTTTTGGTGTAATCTACTTTGGTTTATGTTTTATTTTAGACTAACTTTTTGACAAGCCTAATTATTCGGGCTCGCTAGCGTGATTATGTGTGTGGATGTTGTGTTTGCCCCTACCATTTTCCATATGCTCTGCCTCACCAACACTGCCATCCGGCGTGGTCCTCTCATAGTTGTCCTCTGGGAGTGGAAGGGCACCCAGTCTTGGCCCTGATGAACTCTTACTGCTTGGTGTTTCTGACTCCTCCAGCCCGCTGTCATAGCAACTCTGCAGTGACCCCTGATGTGGGTCCTGAGGCTGACTCACAACAGAAAACGTCACTCTACGAAATGGCTGTAAAAGAAAAGATTCTGAATGTCACTAAGATATAAGGTAGTAAATGATCTTATTTCATAAAATACATTAATTACATATTTAAAAATCTACGGATACTAATTCAATACAAAATGACTAAACAGGTTGAAATATATTTGGATAACTATATATTACCTAAGACAAGCCTAGAGTTTATATTTTACTATTGAAACAAAAATATTCTTTTATGAAACAAATGTAAGAAAAATAATATTTTACCCACAAATGCATTGAAATCAAATAAATTAGTTTCATATATTAAATCTTTTTCAATTCAGTAGTCTTTATATTTTCCACAAATAGATTTAATAAAACAAAACAATGATCAGTAATTCTGGGCGAAAATAATATGCTAATACAATCCGTTGTGAAAAAAATGTCTCCTCATTACTTCAAATGGCATAATGCATTCAAGTCCAGTTGATATGATGTAGACTTTTAATCCTGTGTTTGCTCGAATTCAGCTACAAACAGTGGAGCTGACAAATGATAACATAAATGTGGTATTAAGAAATCACAAAGTATTTATTATTATGTACCTATAAAGTATGTATTTAAAATTATAAGGCACATAGTAAAATGATCTGTAATGGCTTCTTTAATCCATGAATGGAAAATAAAAAGACTTAACTGAGTGAATTTACCATCATTTTAGTTCGTTCAAAGGCAGTACAGTCAAGTGCAGTGTTTGTTTTATTTATTATAAATTCCAAAGAAATTCCAACTAGAACCAATAAGTACCTGTGTTAATGACAATGGCTGCTCATATCAATTAGGCATGAGACATGCAAGTTATCTGAATTACATGATAACATTAAAATAAATTCAGGCTTATTATGGGAACAAACTAACGCTGCATCATTCAGAGGGCAAACTAAAACATTAAGGGAATATACAGGACTGATTATATGACATAATATATGATGTATATACCAACGCTGCTTGGTAGCTGTCTGAAATTCTTAATGATAGTTTCATACATTAACCCCTCGTGAATTTGAAAATGACACAAATGTACATAATTATCATACTTATAATCCCCACCCTTCATTCCCAATACACAGTTTTAAATTTACTGCTGCCAAAACATAGTATTAAAAAAAGAAGCTTTTCTGATTGATTATAGCTCAAAAGTTCATGGTACGAAATCACTAATCATAACCATGACCAATAGGATTGTAGAGTTATAAGGATTATCTGCATATGACAGGTTAATAAATGAGAAAGTTAAGAGTTGTGGTGTTTATCCATAATTTATGAATTAGCTTTACTAAAGACTAATACATGCTTCCACAAATGTCTCCCTTATTCTGTTATAGAAAAAGATATTTGCTACAAAACCTGTAGATTACTGATATTTCTGCTACTGTATCACTCTTTGTGAGCTTAATAGAAACATACAATGTATGCAAATTTCTTTATCCTACTTCAAGATCTAAAGATTGGTTTGCATTAAATACCGTTACGGGCTTTATAATATTTCATGGAACTGGGAGAGCAGTATGAAAATATGGTCACATAATATTTCATTGTGGGCAGTATATACATCATGGGACCAAACTCACTAACAAAAATGCCTACAGACATGGCCTTTACAAAGAACTCTCAACCTCTCAACTTTTTTATGTTTTTATGATTGTTAGATTTGCACTGAAGATTCATTTTTGTTTTTCTCACTTTCATTTCTGTTTTAATTTCCTCCCAATTACCATTCTCAGTAGTCAAAAAGCATGTGGAATTGCCTGAGGAATTTAGTCTCCCTTTGAAAATGTCACTACTACAGCTTTCATAAAGCCACACTGCTCTTTTCAGCAAACACCACTGAGTAGTAAAGTTTTAATGGTAAAGATTAAGGGAGGGACTACAAAGGCCAGGCAATGGGTTAATAGTATTTGTCATTTAAAAAGAAAGTGGAAGAAAGGTTAGAGTTAGTCTTAATTCTACTTTAATGACTTTCATATCTTTTAGGATCAGTTTCAACTATCAAAGCAAGAGTTTATAATACGCACAGAACCGCATACATTCTATGAATGCAGAAAAGAAAAATGGGAAATAATTTAAAAATTGTTGCTTCATTTTGTTATTTAAAAAGTAACTGTTCGGTGAAGGTAGTAACTTGAAAATCTGTGCTGACTTCTTTCTTTTCCTTAATGTATTGCTGTAATGACAGGGAAAACCTCAATACTTCCAATTAAAAAAAATTGACAAGAAAAAGAAAGATAGTTCCAAAATGGGTTAGCAGATGATTGTCATCAACTTAGTATTTCCTTTTCTGGATTTTCTACTCCATTCTGATTGTGGATATTTTGATCTCCATAACTTATTTTAGAAGAGCATTAGAATTTTTAAATACTAAGTACTTTAGAAAGTACTCAGTTCATCAGTTTCTTTTTGCATGAAAGTTGTTTAACTTAATATAGTTTCTAAGTAAGTGCAAATGTTTATCACATTAAAACTCAAACTGAAAAGTATCACACAGTGAGCTAGAAAACACACACCAATCATTCGATCTATATAATGAGAATTCTATAATTCTGGAATATCAACATTATATCACTATATGTTGCATGTTGTTCCTATTTTAAATATTAAAAACTACTTTGAAGATGCATTTAAGTTGGAAAAGAAAACTAAGTTAGTAGTAGAACTTCGCTGAATGAATACTTCACTGAAGTATTGATGCATAGTTAAAACTCAGTTCTAATAGTATGTCACACATTGAGCTTGGGGGTATATGCAAACATAGAGAGAGCCAGAAGGAAGGTGGGAGAAAGAGAAATATATGGGGAGAGGGGAAAGGGGAGGGGGAGAGGAAGGGGAGGGAGAGAGGGAGAGAAAAAGAGAAGGAGAGAGAGAGAAAGAGAGGGAGAGAGATATCCCATCCATCATCATGCTGAATCAAGTAAAAAGATGGTTATGTTTTGTAATATATTATAATACAAAATTATGGCACCCCTCAGATTTAAAACTGGACTAAATCAGCAAATTATATAGTACATTGACTTCCTGACAAAAACAGTATTGTGTCTGTCGCTGTACTGTTTCATTACTGACGATACAAAGGAAAACAGAGTAAATGATGACGGCTGAGTTTACACACAACTTTGAATTATTTAGAAAATGTATAAATAATGAAATGCCAGTACACATCACAACATAAGCTGAATAAATTAGCATTAAGGATAATCTGCTTTAGAAATCAATGGAATCCCCCACAATGCCTACTAATTCCAGAATCAGTTATAGCAATGTGCAATTCTTTCTCAGGGCACAGAAACATGGATTTGAAGGGATTCAAACTCATATACTTCGGGATATGAGAAACAGTACCCTAAGGAAAAGCTAAAAAGAGCTACCAGCAATGGGAATGGACTTTGTGGTTTAAGTAGCTGAATGGAAGTGGTCATAAATATATCATGCTTCACTGATTCACTCTACTTGCATTTATTTGGGACACAATATCTGCCAGAGCTTTAAAACTTATATACAGTGAAGAAGCTCAATGGCATATACACATTACCAATGAAATTTAAATAGAAGATTCTACTTAACATGTTTGGAAATACAAATAGGTCTTAGAGGTTATTCGACTGAGGTGTCTAGTATGTAAGACACAGTTGAAGATCAATCTAAAATTACCTAGTGGGGTCAAAGAGGAACGATTTTTAAAAGGAGTTGAGTAAGAGTGATCATCCCTGAAACCCTAAGACAGAAGTAAAAAAAAAAAAGTTACTGTGTGCTCAAGATACTTTGATCATCTTTTGGATTATCTAGTTCATGGGGGACAAGGATGAAAAGGAAAAAAAGAAAAACAATGAAGGCACTTAACAGTAATTTTTAAATATATAAAAACAAGAAACAGTGTACAAATGAAAACAATAGGTTTAAGCAGAGATGCATTTACTGATTCTTGATGCTGTTCTTCAATGTCATAGATAACTGTTCATTTTAAGGTGAGTATGTAACACGCCAACAAAGCTAGTTAGTTGTTCAACCAATGTTGCAAAGAGCATGAAAGAGCTCAGTGAACACCAAATTAAGTAAAACAGAGAATTATTTCCAAAATAACCACAAAAGAAAATTCTTGCATGGGTACATGTAAAAGGGTGAATACATTTTAAACAAAAAATTATATATTCTACATTAAAAATAACAGAAAGAAAGAGAAAAGTAAATATTTCAAAATTCCCTATAAATTTTCTTTGTTACCTTGGCCAAGTTAGCTGACCTTTGTTTCTTATGCCTTAGGCCAAGGGTCTGTAAAATAGAGATAATAATATCTTTTTCTTAATTCTGGGAGAATTAATGAGATAGCTCATAAAAAGAGCCTTAAGCTCCCTCAGAGACACATCCTATAAAAGGTATTATACCTCAGGCCACTGCTAAATAACCAGAGTTAGCTTCCATCGTTTCACTTGGGTTTTTTCCTTCTTCTTAAGGAAAATATAGAGCTAGCTAAATAATTCACAAATATTCTAGGTAGAGGTTCTAAAGTCCACATAAAAGGTCAGGCCTAATTAACATTGAAAACCACTAATTATTGATGAAGTAATAATGCACATACAATAACAACCACATATTTCAAGAGCTACTGTGATCATAGCCTTCATTAAACACAAACATTATGGTGGTCAATTAATTTACAAAGTCATTTGTCAGTCCTTTGAGGTTTCAGTGTTACTAGAAGCTTGTGCTTGAGAAGATGATAGAGGCTAGCCTCAATACATTGCCAGAAATACATTCAAACTCCAGGTGAGATGCTAAGTCACAAATAATGATGTGGCTTGTCTTCTCTTCAACTTCCATGTGACTAAACCTCATTAGCATTGCTTTAAAACTTTCTCTAGGCTGGTAACCAGCCTGCTGAAACCTTTTTTCTTCATTCACTGTTTTCTGTTATCACATAGAGACAGCCCACTGCCTGCCTTGTTTGTTTTTCTGTTGTCATGGACCTTGAGAGGGCAGCCTCTTTCTTGTCT